GGACAGATGACTGAATAGATGGACAGATAGATGGAATTAGGTGGGTGGTAGATAGATGGATGATGAGTGGAAATGAAGACTCAATACATCACACAGACTTCAGACTGGATTCCTGCCCTCATCTGGTCTTGTCTTTCATGCCTTAGACTAAACCCGGGTGATCTCCACCATCACTCCGTCACTGACCGAGCTCTGGGACCTTTTCTGCCGACCGAGCACAGCCCCGGCCTCCACTCCACTCCCCAGCCCCTCGCAGGCCCCGAAGGCCCCGAGCCGTGTGAAACCCCCGCCGGCAGGGAGAGAGGCCCGAGGCCGACCGCTCGCCCCTCTCCTTTCTCAGGCCAGATGGCGGCGCCGGCTCCGTTTTCCGAGCTGCCCCGTTTCTCACGCAACTGTTGCGGAGCGTGTGCGCGTGCGGGAGCCGGGCCTGAACCGAGCCGGAGCATTTAACCCCCAGCCCATTCAAATCCTCTCTTCGGTCTAATCACACTGGCGGCTGCCATCTGAAAGCTGTTTCCAGAAACCCCAATTCTGTCCTTTCTGGGAGAGCTAACAATTCTCAAGGGCAGGGGAGACACAAGAGGGANCGGCGCCGGCTCCGTTTTCCGAGCTGCCCCGTTTCTCACGCAACTGTTGCGGAGCGTGTGCGCGTGCGGGAGCCGGGCCTGAACCGAGCCGGAGCATTTAACCCCCAGCCCATTCAAATCCTCTCTTCGGTCTAATCACACTGGCGGCTGCCATCTGAAAGCTGTTTCCGGAAACCCCAATTCTGTCCTTTCTGGGAGAGCTAACAATTCTCAAGGGCAGGGGAGACACAAGAGGGGAGCAGCCTGATGGATCAGGGTCACCGCCAGTGGAATTTCCTCTAGTTTAACTGAAAACTGAATGTCCCGTCCAAGCCCATTTTACTTCTTGTTTTAGTTTCCGAGGGAAACAAAAACAGACAAGAAAGAAAAACATTTTAATAAGAGAGAGAGTTTTCTTCCCATTCCAACCCCCTGAGGGACTGAAATCAGATTTGAGAGGAAGGAATCTACCTGCGAACTCCTTAAAATGCTTTTCTCCAGGACAGGGGGGCGAAGGTGTGAGAGCTGTGCTGGAGAGGAANGGACAGGGGGGCGAAGGTGTGAGAGTTGTGCTGGAGAGGAAGGGTTAGCTCAGACCCACAACCTCCGCACGGGGCATCCACAAAACTAGGAGTGCCACGTGGGGGTCCCCTCTCCTGGAACATTAATAGGCTGTCTAGGGAGGTGTGTTGAGAAGGGTTCTGAGGCTCCATAGGAAAGAATGCAGAGACTGATGAGCAGTGTCTGCCAGGGTGAGTGCCTACAAGCTTGCACATATCTGCCTCTCCGGCAAGGACAGAGACCACAGCTTGCCCTCTGCCTCGCTGCCTCAGGGCATAGTGCCGGGGGAAAAATAAGTCCTTCATACAGGTTTGCTGAGCCTAAGATTATTATAATATAAACACTACATTTACGGATCACTCAATATGTGCTAGGCCTTATGCTGTGAAGTTTCTACCCGGAAGCCGGGCCTCCATGCACTCAGGGTTCTCATTACTGCCACTGTACAAAGGAAGACAGGAGCTCAGAGAGGTGCAGTGACTCCCTAAAGGTCACACAGCCAGACACGAGCAGAGCCTCAAGCTGCAGCTCTGCAATGCTCACAAGTCCTCCAAAAGCCCCTACACCAGTGTTCTCAACAAGGGGCACTTACGGCCCCCAGGGGACATCTGGCAATGAATGGAGGCATTCTTGGTTGCCACGCAAGGGTGGGGGGTGCTATTGGTATCTAATGGGTAGAGACCAGGGATACTGTTTGACATCCTCCAGTGCAGAGGACAGCCCCCCCAAGGCAAAGAACTAACCAGCCCCCAAAGTCAATGACAGCAAGCATGAGAATCTCAGATCCGGACGGTTTTTACTTCGCTACCCCCATCACCTCGCTACCCCCATCACCCCTCAAATGACGGAGATGGCGCTCCCAAGGCTCAAGTCAGCAGAGAGCGAATCCTCTTGCGTTATAAGCAAGTGTCACTGTTCGATCCGTAGCCTAATTATCCTGTTATTCTCAATTACAGAACCATCTCGAAAAAGTAGAAGTAATTAAGTTTAGTCATTTGGTTTCATTCCTCCAATATCTGGTTGAAGGGGTGGATCCTGTCAGTTCCATTATCAGCCGCAGCATCCCTGGTCTGCAGCTCTAATAACCTGCACAGGGCTCCCCACGTGGGTGTGAAGGGCTGAACTCTGAGATCCTCTCTTTACTTTCTTCGCTTGGATTTCATTAAAACTTGCCAATGCAAAGGAAAACTGTTCAAAGGGAAGGGGTGGGGGTGGGAATCTATGAAAACCGAGGCCTTATCATAACAGAGAAGGCAAATAGCATTTACAGCAATTGAACTGATACAGAAACTTCTGCTTAACAATCGAAGCGCCTATTACGACGTCTCCATAGCCGAACAAAACATTTTTTTTTCTACTCTAATTTCCTGATAACAAGTCAGGCAGACACGGAGGCAGAACCAGTGCCTTCCGTCCCAGGGGGAGAGCCACAGGCATTTTTTTCCTGAGACATTTTCATTTCCAGTGCCTGGAAGGGGAAAAGTGTTGCAGGGCAGGAGGGGTCTTCTCCCTTCTCCAGGCCCCGCTGGCCATGCCCTCTCAAAGGTGCCTCCGCGTGGAAGGCGATAAACCACCTAGGTAGCCGGACAGACAAACGGAAGCCTGGATGGAAGGAGCTGACATTAACGAAGCATCCACGTGACCAGGCGCTACTGCCCAAGAAGCCCCTGGGGTGTGTTTTAAGTCCATGGGAACCTTGAGGTCCCTTAGAACTGAGGCACGATGGGGATCTCACAATTTTAGGGGCTCCCTCTGGCGGCGGAGGGGAGAATCGCCCGCCAGGCTGTGACAAAAACAGGAGGGGCGCCCCCTACCCCCGTCCTCCAACTACCCCCCCCTCCCAGGACCTAAAGCATCAGCCCTGACCCTTACAAGGCCATCGGTCTCCCAGCCCAGCCCTTTCCCACTTGAGCTGCCAAGATCCCACCTGCTGCCCCCAATAAAGAAAAAAATCCACACCCCAGAGTCACCAGCCCACTGCCTGGCACAGGAGAGAAGATCAGTCTTAGTTATTGACAAATCCCAAGTGGGACTACACCTCTGAGAGCCATTTCTTCATCTAGTTCAACAACCCTCTGAGGTTGTAACCTCAGTTTACCGACAAGGAAATTGACGATAACTTAAGAACTTGGTGGACTTTAGAGGTGAACCCAGTTTCCCATAAAGCTAAAGCCTTGCTACCCCCCCCACCCTGCCACACACACTATTACCTTCCTATATGATGTCTCCTACTGAGACAAGTGTAACATTTATTGTATAAAACATGCAGGCCTAGGGAGGGATTGAGCAAAAGAGGGAGAGACAGACAGACAGAACTCATGGGCATGGACAACTGTGGTGATTGCAGGGGATGGGGTGGGTGGAGGTGGAGGGCATCGAGGGGATAAATGGCGATGGAAAAAGTAAAATAAAATAAAATACATAGAAATAAACCCAAAATAAACATGCAGTCCTAGAGTCAGAAAGGACCACAAGAAACTGTCTACTGAAGTCTCTGAGTCTCTCAACCGTCTTGGACAGAAGAGGGGCTACCCTATTCTTAAATGTTTCCATGGAGATAAAACACAATGCTATTAATAATAACAGCCAACATTCAGTGAGCACCTACTGCACGGCAGGGCTCAGATGAAGTGCCTCAGATGTATTATTGAATTTAATCCCCATAACTTCATTTTAGGCGGTAGAGCTGGGGTTTGAGCCAGGACAGTCAAGCCCAGAGCTCATCCTCAGAAATGCCACAAATGAAAGGGAAGTTCCAAGCTGCCCCTAAGCTTCCAGCCCAGCCTGAGTGAGAACCTAAAAATGATGCTGAATTCAAATCGATGGGCAGATTCTTTGGGGCCCAAAGATACCTGAAATGAAACTTAAAGACCATTCAACGTTTCTTTTGGGGCCACAGACCCTGTCGCCAGCTAAAATCCCACTGATGTAGCCAAGGCGCCAACCAATCCTTGATGAAAGCTGCTCGTGATCCTACTCACAGAGCAGGGAGTAACTCTATTTGCTTTGCTCTCCAATCCAAATAGATCAGGTCTCACAGCGTTTTAATAACGTG